AGTCAAGTTCATGAGATGTTCACTATTTTTGACATATTCTTATCAGAAAAAAATAAATAAATCAAATTTCACTATACTTGACCGTGACAAAGTTAAATGATGTACAACAACTTGCAGAACGGATCTTGACTTCACGAAGAAAAAAATATCATTAAAATAACAAACACATTATTAAAGAAATTACGTTAGTCATTTACTAGCTTACCAGTGACTAAAATTTTGAGTTCACACAACATTTTTCGACACTATATATATAATATTCTACGACGACTTTTACGATTATAAAAAGTCTAAATTCACTTAATGACATGTCCATTTACATGTTAATCTATGTAGAGAACAAAATACAATTTCTTCATAATCAAATTGATTGCTACCCAGGGGCGGATCCAGCACCTAGCGAGCCTCGCGGCCGCCCGTGCTGGATCCATCAGAGCCTTCAGACCACCGGGCGCCACCCAATTAACAGTTGCAGAATGGAAACCAGAAGCTGAAGTGCGAACTGGCGAAGACGAAGATAATCTTAGGTTTTAGGTTTGGGCCTAATTTTTTTTATTTTTTAGTTTAGCCATTGTTTTGGGCTTGGCTTTAAAAAAAATAGGTCCAAAGGCCCGAAATCCATGGATGCTGGATATATATAATATATGTATAATGTATATAAATATGATATATCCATTTTTGATTTTCCTCAGCCTGTTCCAACAGCAAGTGTAGACTGAAGAGGTGAACGTGAGTCTCTGAGAGAGCCAGAGACGAGGAGAAGCTGCAGTGCTGTAGCAGGCCGCCGGTGTCTCCATTTCTCCACCTCTCCTCCTCATGTCCAGCGGCTTTGACTAGTGAGCGACTGAATGCTCTTTTACTTCTCGAATCTTGTTTTTGTAATTTTTTGTTTTTAGTTGTTGATCTGTGACAAAGAAATGAGAATTGTGATTTATAAATTTGTGATTTGTGATTTATGATTTATGTTGTATGAGTTATGACTTATTATGACTTATTAGTTATAATTTATCATTCTTGAGTTTTGATTTGTGATTTGAGAATTTAGGTTAAGGAAATTTCAAATTAGGGATAAGTGAAAAAAAAAATTTAATGGAGAAGATATTGGGCTCAATACACTGTGTTTTTAATCAATTTTAATTGAAAATAAATTTTGACATTTTGCAAATTATGGAGCGATTTTTTCAATCGGAGCGATTTCTTGTACATCTGCAAGTGTTTTTAGCTATATTTTTATTATCGACTTTTATTTCATACCCAGAGTTACATGAAACAAAAAAGAAAAAAAAAATCTCAGAAAATTAATAAATTTTCAGTTGATATTGCAATAATTTATAAGTTATTAGCTAACATTCTACGAAATCCTTCCACTGTCTACGTGAGTGCCGAAGACTAGCTTAGCTGACTAAAGTTGTCTTTAAATTTTGAAATACCATTTACGGGAAGTTGAATTGAGGTTGCAACGCAACATCAAATTTACTAGTAGGGTTCAAAGAAAAAAATCAGCTTCTACAATCATTAGTAAATATATGAATCACAACACTGTCAAATGCTTACTTAAATGGAAGCTTTTCATACAGCCACTTAATGTCATCAGTTAGATTACTTGCTTCTAACAATTCTCTGTCGTAATGTAGATTTCACATAAAATTTCCCTAATTGCTTGCATTACTGGTCTTAAATTATATGAATAGATTGTCCTGCAGTATTTATCATGAAGCTGAAAATCTTCGTTTGGGCACATCGCTATTACGATTGTTGGGTCAACGGTTGACTTCTGCCCTAGCTGACCTCCGAACCTGGGTCCACCCCTGTTGCTACCCCACTCCTAAACAATTGATCATGCAACCAAGTAATGCTATTATCTACAATATATTTATTTATTTTGCCCAATAAAATGTGTTTATATATATTTACGCACATTGTCGTTTCTTGTAAAACATCTCGAAATGGCTCTCGCAATTCCCTATGCATATTTATTCTATTTACTTTTCTTGTCTCTATTGGTTGTTGATTCTGCATATGGATACGGATATGGATATGGAGCTCCAAAATCGAAGTTGGAGTCAACCAACCTGGGAAAAGAGTTTCTCCCTGCAAGTTTTAGCATTCAGGGAATTATTTACTGTAAATGGGCCCCAAAACTCAACTCACCTAAAGATGATATCTTGATCTTTTGTTTTGTTTTAAATTGAATAATCATTCGATCTATATTTTTATTTAAGCAACTCGTCTATTTTAAATCTAAAGGGTTAATTTTGATGCGGTAACTATTGCACGAGCTATTGCAAGAATAATGTGCCTAGCCCACGACAAGTATGTATATGAAACGGCACCGTTCTCAATTTTGAGCCATCCAGCCAATGCCAACGGTTACTTCCTTACAAAACTATCTTTTCGACTTGAAATGGTTGCAAAGTTACTCAATGAAAAGCTTTTCTACAAAGCTCTCCTTTTGACATGTTATTTTGCAAGTTGTAAACGATGGATCAAATGGAGTTGCTTTTATCAGCATATCGACTCGTTGGAGGAGGGAAGAGTGCTCGTTGCTTTTTTTTTTTTTCCCCTTTCTAAAACTATATAACAGAAACAAAAGATATAAAATCCCAATGAATGCCATTTCCGCCATACAACCAACACAGGCGAAACCATTCGGTGTCGGCCCGTCTGACCAAATTATCTTCCCCACTGAATATCTTGGTGATGCTGCCAACTTCCTAGCCTTGATCTTGACCATATAACACTGCTTTTCACCATTCATTTCAAAATCCATTTTTGATGGAGTTACGGTAACAATTGCACCTTTAGGATTTGTCAAACTCACACTGTAGCTAGCATTGTCACTAACATGTGTAACTGTCCTATTAACAACAATAGCCAAATCCAACGGTTTGGAAGCTTCAAAAGCAACTGAAATGGCTGGATAATTTAAATTCCACGGCTTAGATTGATTATTCCCGTAACTCGCAGGCCTCCTAGCAATCAGTTGTAAGTTTCGCCGAATAAATGCACATAGAAAATTCATATGATCATTCGAAGTTAAATCATAAACCAATCTTGGATCAACAGTCTTCTCAGGATTCACGGACCGAGCACCAATATCATATATTGTTGCCAAATTATAAGATGTTTCATCAAGCAATGGATTCCCTTCAAGATCTTGAGTATAAGCTGTAGTCATTAAAGCCAATCGAATCATTGCCGGTGACCAATCAGTGTGGGCAGGGGCGGAGGGGGGGACCAGGACCCCCCCCCCCCCCCAACAAATTTTTTGACAAAAAAATTTTTATTATTATTTTTTTAATTTTTGGGCTCAAATTTTTTTAAAAAAAACTTATCTCCTAATTCCTAATCCAGCCCCAGAAGGAAGTCGAAAATCTCCCAGGCCCAGCCCAATCCAAAATATCAAAACCCCACTTCACAAGTCACCACTGTCTGCCCCATTTCATTTCATCTTCCCCGTCTCGCCTCCTTCGCCTTTACTATTGAGCCTCCGCCTCCACCTCTGTTGCTGAGCCTCCGCCTCTGCTGCTGAGTCTCCACTTCCTCAGCCTCTCCCTCTCCCCGTCTGAACTTCGACAGGAGGCTTCAAACTTCGAAGGTTAGGCACCAAATTATATCAACGTTCCTTATGCTTCTGAAGCTCTGCTACATCATTAACCT